CAAAAGAGTAAAAAAACAAAACTCTTTTTATATTCCAAAACTTCCTTGTCCCAAGTGTGTATCGATAATGGATGCAAAATATACATGTTAGTGCTGGAAATTTATATTTCAGTTTAGTGTGAATTGTATTATCATATCCTATTTACAATGACAAAAACTTTAACTAAGAAACTTTTATTAGGCAATCCAAAATCAAGTGATAAACCTCAGGCAACTGTCATCACGAGAAATGAAATATGATAGCCAACTACTTAGAACTACTTTTTCTTTTTTTTTGGTTTATCCTTTTCATCTCTTTTCAGTTTTAAGGTTTCATGTGGATAGCATTCTCCAGTTCCCAGCTAAAACTGTTAACTGTCCCAAAAAAATCTTTGAGCCTTGGCTTGGCTCTTGATCTTGTCCAGAAATTAAAAGTATACCTTTTATTTTATGGAAATCTTATATGCATATATTGATGAGGAAAGAAAATCCTTTTTCTATTTTCAAATTAAAGAAAGAAAGTGGATGAGTTATTTCCCCTTTAACATGAACCTCATATCATCTCTATTTAAACTGCACAAAAAGCAATAACTGGTACACCAAAAAACAGAACTTCCCAACAGAAGCAAATTCAACTTTTTCACACATCAAACAAGTTTCACTCCATCATCTCAAGCATTTCATAAACTTTCCGTAAATTTTCATTTCATACAAAATAAGCACACATAACCAACTCGATTTTTTTTTTTTCTCAAAGAAACAAGAAAAAGATCAAGCTCACACTAGCGAAAGCAAACATGGGATGTTCTGTATCCTCACAGGCGAAAGCCGGGGGTGAGAAATATGTACACATAACACACTTGAGATTTTAGTAGTTCTTTATTCTTTTTTCAGATGATGGTCCATACGTATTTTCCTTTTATTTACATGCATTTGTAGTGCTGTTTACGATTTCCTCAGGCAATGTTAAGAAGATCAGAAAGCCGAAAGCTTGGAAACATCCACAGCCAATAACGAGAAGTCAACTTATACAGCTGAGGGAGGAGTTTTGGGACACTGCTCCTCACTATGGTGGCACAAAAGGTAAAAAAAATAAAAAAAAAAAAAAATAACAGGAAATGGAGATACAAATTTAGCCTTTAAATGAACAAATTCATCAAATTCTTCCATTTTCGCGGTTGAAATTTGCCAGAAATATGGGATGCACTACGAGAAGCAGCAGAATCTGATATAACTCTTGCTCAGGCAATTTTGGATAGTGCAGGAATTCTAGTTCATACTGCTGATTTGACCGTTTGTTTCGATGAAAGAGGTGACCTTAACCCAGTTTCTACTTTAACTTAACTAGAAAAATTACATTCAGTTTTACGCATACTTCAAATTTCAGGGGTAATTCATAGGCAGTTGGCAAATCTTAAAATACCTAAATAAAACGCAATTTTTGTACTTCAAAATCCATCTTGGCATGATCGTTTTACCTGTCATAGTTTCCTGCATTTTCTCCATCTTATTCATTATTTCGTGATTTACATTGAACCTTAAACCTGTTATGTCACAGGTGCAAGATATGAGCTGCCAAAGTATGTCCTAAGCGAGCCCAAAAACTTAATCGAAGATCCTTAAGATGAGAGGGAGGCATTCTCTAGACTCTGAGAAAACTATGTTTAAAATTTTACATAATATCTGGTCACTTTTGAATTATAGAATTCAGCTAAATTTTGCCGGAAAATTATACTGTACTAGAAACACATGTACCAATGAACGATCTCTTTCCATGTAATCTTAACATATAATAGTTCTCAGTACAATAAAATCTCACCTTACAACAAGCCTCATATCATATAATCTCCTTACGGCACTAAAAGCGGTCAACTTGGAGTACAAATCCTGATAAAATACATGGTTTTTGACAAGATAGACAGTCAGAAAACTAGATAAGATTTCCAGATAGAAGTCTCTACAAACACTCAAATTCAACTATCTACGACAAGGCTACTTTTAATAACTATCTATGACAAGTCTTAACTTTTGTGATGAAAAATTACAAGCCACAACTTATTGCGAGGTTTTTATAAAACTGCAAGATACAAATAGATGTAGCAATTGTTACCGTCACGCCCTCTTGAAGAATGACATGATATTCCCCTGCTTGGGATCCTTATTCGGACCCTTTTTGTTTCCAGCTTTTCCTGCTTGGTTTGATGCCGTGGTGGTTGCCGCAGGCAATTTTTTCACCACCGGTAGCCTAAAATCGTAGGCAAAATGGAAAAATAAGTTGGCGTCAAACAAAAAGTTAAGAGAAATTAACCTAAAGAAGAAAAATTAAATCTCCTCTCTGTTTATAGTATTTCTTTATTTATATTTTATGTTACTGTTTGTGTACTTTTGGGGTGGCAGTATTCACCAAAAGAAATTACTGGTCATCAGTTGAGTTTCAGGTATAATTGCATATAAATCTTAGCATTTCCGAATTAGATAGGATCAGCTGTCATATCTTAGCATCAAACATGAAAAAAATAACTGTCCACTTGGATCGATTTTCTCCTCAATAACATAACAATATAAACACAGAAGCTTAATATTGTAATATGATTTTAAACAGCAAGCCATAAATTGAAATGGGTCATGCACACGTGTAACCTGCTAGTGGCTTTGTTTGTCGTGTTGCTCTCAGCAACTTTAGCTGAATTATTATCGCATTTTTTATCTGGCTCCTCACCCTCCCAGACAACCTCAGTAACTGGAACAACAGGCGTAAATACATCAGGAAAATATATCTCAACAGCACATGAAAAATGAAACAGAACTTACTCAATGCAAGAAAGAATCCATGATGAATAATATTAACGAATGTTTACCAAACCTAAACTTGTGGTATAGCTTACTGATAAAAAGTACTCCCAGCTATCTTTTAAAATTATAAATACCCTGCATTATCACTCTGAGACTGAAGGTGGACTTTACAAGATATAAACAAGTTTTATGGGTATTTTTAATTTTAAAGATAATCAGGTTGTTTTATAGTTTCTCTAAACTTCAGGGACAGATTTGCAATAATATGTTCTCGGACCTACCTTCTCTGCCCCGATCATCAATCCGTGTCTTTAATAGTTTTTTCCTCTTCGCTGGGACATTAGCCACTTTATCTTTCTCACAAGACTCCGTTTTAGGAACATGGCTAAGGTTCTTATCTGAAGTGGGAGCCTCAATCTTCTTTTCTTCTGAATGTTGGTTAGTTATCACGTCATCTGCTTTCGCCTCATTCGTATTTGGCTTATGTTCCTTCTCCTTGAAACTTAATTTGCACTCCAGTTCAAAAGCACCCGACTCGCCTTTTAAACATGAGGCAGACTTTTTCGGAGGGTCGGGTGATGCAAGATTCACTGCATCTTCACGTTCATCTTCCTCATCCGAGTAATCGAAGACAACTCTCCTCTTTCTACTGCTTTCTCCATTAGACGTTCTCTTAACGCTGATATCATGGTCATCTTCATCACTGCTAGCGTGTTCAACTGATTCAAGAGCACATATTTGAGCTTCTGCACTGGCTGTTTCGAGACCAAACAATGAGTTTGTTTTAGACAATGAAAAGAGACATTCACAAAAACTAAACCTGAAGTTTAGCCCAATTACATGCAAGCATTCATTAAAGTACAAACACCCCCTTGAGATTTGTATTAACCAAGAAAATACCTCACTTTTAATGGTTGAATCGTAAAAGAGAAAAAAATATTTCAGGGATTATTTGTAATTATGAAGATAACTAGATTTTTTTTGTGTGATCTTAAGAGCAGTTTTTATACTTGATCGTAAAGGAAGAGAAAGAGTTAACCAGCAGAGTTTTGTTTGGAGTCATTGGCCTGCGGCAAAGCAGCAGCAGGTTTAGGTTTAGCAGATGCACGACCCCACATGCTAGCCAATGCGCCTCCACTTCCTGAAGAGTTTTTATCAGTTTGACCCTTTTTGTTGTTACGGGACAACTGGAGACCTTTTTCTTTATCTGCAGCAAGCTGGCCCCCTTGTTCTCGTTCCAGCTTCACAACACTCTCGGTTTTCAAAGTTTTTGTACTCTCGGGAGGCTGCTGAGGCTTTGCGGAACTTGTGGAGCCCACAGAACGTCCAGTGGTCTTCATCTGCAGGATTCCCGCGCCTGAGGCTACTCCTCCCACAGCTCGCTTAACAAATGAATTTGAAACTCCACAGAACCTTTTAGTAAACGATATAGTGAAGTTAGAAAAAATGAGGCCTGGGAGAGATTTATGCAAAAGAGTGCTGCCTAAAAAATATGGATTATGAATGGGATTAAAACAAACAGTTGAACCTGTTATCCCGCAAGCAATTATCAACTGCCACTGGTTGCTTAAAGAGATCTTCAGCTTGGACAAATTCATGATTCCATAGGGTTGCTGGGTCCTTTGGTAGGCAAGCTTGTATACTGTAAATTTGAATGGAACAATCTTCTTCAAATTCTTGCTTTGCATCTGCGCATTGTAAACAAAAGTTTCACAATAGAAGTTTCGCCATTTTTTATTCTCTTCAGCAGTATTTCCCCAGACTTGTTGAAATAACTATAATGACCCACCAGCGAGACACAACTTAGTTATTTCCATTAACTCAATTGTGCATTTTCATATACATAAATTATAAATATGAACTTGGAAGAATGTAAAAGGCCCTGACAGTAACCCACGTCAAAATTTCGAAATCCCAGAACTATTTATTCCTATCAAGTTGTCACCAATCAGTCACGCAAACACAACTCAAACAATTAACGCTTACCAACCGGAGGATGTTACATTAATTGTTCTTATATGGAAAAAATATAGTTGAACATTCTCAAATATGAAATTTATGGGGCTGGACCTCCAAATTTCAAGTTTCCTCTGCATACACAGCTTGTTCTTTCTAAATTTATTATGGGCTGTTGGATCCAATTATCCATAACGACAACAGCATTTATTCAGACGTGCAACTGGTCATAGGACTCTACTCAAGATGTCAATATATCAGTCTTTCAGAACTAGCTCACATAAGTCCACAAGATTTGAGATCAGCAACACACCACTGGAATAACTACAAGTGAAATCTTAATTTTTTTGCTTAACAGACTATGCTATTTGCAGACATAATAATGATAGATTTATTCAAATCTACAACTTGATCTCCAAAACCATGCACCATACGAACCACCTGATAAGCAGCGTGAATACTAGAACAACTCCTGATAGACAGTTGTAAAGTATATCCTACTAATGGTTTTCCCTTGATCCATCTACATGAGCATTTAATTACAAAATCACCTGAGAGTTTATCCTTGGACACAAGTCTTATATGGTAAGTCGATGGGTTGTTCTTCAACCAGCCAGATAAAGAGTAAACCACTTCCAATCCATATCCAAACTTCTCCACAAACTCCTGTAGCAGCCTACAGCCGACCATCGATCAAAATAAGTCAGCCCATCAAACAACTAAACAACAATAAAAAAAAGGACCGAAATGAATAAGCTTTGAGATTCAGGTCACTTACCTCTTCGCAGCATTGGAAGAAACCAAAAAGTTCCGACTGAGCCATTTGTAGGAAACCTAACCAGAAAAATCACAACTCATTGATTGCTGAAAGATCCCTAAAACCCCACAAAGTCGCAACCTTTAGCAATTTAACATAATTCTAACTGGCTGCGCTCGGTGCGCTGTGAATCCCACACTTCCAAATATTACGAGGATTTTCAGACAACATTAGCTCAGCCCATGTATCGAAGTATCCAATTTAGCTCGAAAATTATTCCAGCGACCATCAAATTTCAAAAAACACTATAGCACAGCAGCAACACATATAGGTGTCTAAAATTTATCAACGATGTTTAAAGGGAAGAGAGAATAGAAAGGCGTACCACTTGAAGCTTATCGGAGACGATGGACTGAACCTCGTCGAGAATACCTAGGGTTTCGATTTCCGCCATTTTCTCCACAGATAGGTGTCGATTCGTACCTCTCTGGAAGGCCCCCCCGCCAAAAAAAAAAGGGAAATTTTTCTTCTTTCCTATTTTCCCTCTCTTGATTTCCCGCCACTCGGCAAATTTGAGAGGATTATCACAACTAAGCTAAACTAGTAAATTGGCTGATTCGAGGTAGGTTTCCAGCCTTCGGATCACACGGGCACGCTTATTCGTGCCAAAGTTTGTTGATTCAAATTGAGTTGGTGTAAAAAAATGTGACCTAAATTGAGTTATCAACCGTTGGGGTATCAAAATCGACCAAATTTTGAGTTACAAAAAGCTCTTCTTTCTCACATTTCAATTTTGAAATTAGTTTTCATTCAATTTTGATTTTTTTTTTTTCAAAGTCTTCCATATACGAAAATAAAATCATAAAATTGATAGAAAAATACTTTTCCGTACACTTACAACCAAAATTTTAATATATTTTTGTTGCCATTTATAAAGTATAGTTTTCAAATCAATTTACATGAGTAGAGATTCATAAATGTTATTTCAGTAGTTTTTTGTAGAAGTCATAAATTTTTTACCTTCGATTTAAAGCTAACTATATTGAAATTCTGATCCTTAACTATTATGTTTCATCCAAGTTCATGCTAGCAACGCCATAACAAGAGAAAACATTAGAAAAAAAAAAGGGGCTTTCTTTCAAATGTCTCATTTATGAATGAAGCAATTGATAGCTTATACCATAATCTTCACCATCTCTCCAAACTGAAACAAAGTACACATAACCTTCTAAAATTTCACATCTTCACATCTTGATGCACCAATTCATCGATGTATATTAATACGACTGCCGAAAAATTGTAGACTCGATCAAATCCTCGCCATGTGTTAGAAAGTTATAACGATCACTACTGTTTGAAAATGTATACTTGATCAAAACCTCTCCTGCACCAAACGCAAAAATAGAAATTGAAAACATATATATTTATTGACCCTGAGGCTAAATTAAGCAAAAGGAAACTCAAAAATTTGTAGCACTTGCCCAAATTTTCCACTGTACTCAGGTTTGTATTTATATATTAAGTGTTCAAGTACTTGGGAAGGTGGTGGCTTGTTTGAAGACTTTCTTGCCTCCCTGCAAAGAAAATAAATTTGTCACATATATATATATATTTGTCCATTGCAAATGGAGCTGGAAGAGTTATTGTTGATAATTCTCCTGGCATAGTGCTAATAATAGACTAGATTAAAATGGCTCAATTAAATTCTAGTGCTTCTTCTATTAGTAATAGAAGTTTCTAGAAAAAAAAAATATATCAAACGGTGCAATGCACCTTGGGTCGTTACGGAAACAACCTCCTTGTATAATTACAAGAGTAAGGTCTGCGTACAACTGACCCCCAGACCCCAACATGTTGAGAAGATACTGGGTATGTTGTTGTTGTCACATATATATATATATATATACTTATATATAAACATCCCTTTTATTTACATTTTTTATCTTGTTACATTTTTCATTAATCTATTTGTGGTTCAATATTTAAAATCATACCATATATATAATTAATACCTACAATTAATTCTTCACCTTACTAAAAAGTTGGCAACATTTTGAGTCACCTGAACTGCTGCTGGAGAGTGGGGGATCTTCTCTAAGCCCCATTCAAAAGCATTTTTCTATAGACACAAATATTATTAGAATCCCAAAAAATTTTACGAGTGTATGTATTTTAGTGTATTCTAAATGTCGCTATATAAGANAATACATTGGCTAAGAAAACCTTGAAAAATGTCAACATAACAAAAAACAAACAAACAAACAAAAAAAAAACCACGCACTTCAGGGTGCCACTGGAAAGCAGCCACAGGGTACTTTCGTGCTTGGACAGTAGATACATAGACCTAGTAGAAATCAAAACCGTCTTAGAACACTAGAGAAAATTAAATTTTTTCTAACATGTAATGAAATTTTAGTAATGAAGGTTTTGTATAATTGATTGAGTACCTTTTTATCCCTACATTCACTAATCGTCACAATCCGAAAGAAACTGTGTAGATTCTTGTTCTTTTCGAACCTCTCTGGCGATACTCCATACTGTCGTCGCAAAGGACTTGAACATTTAGAATGGTTTGTTGGGTTACAATATGTTTGTATGGATTAATTAAACTTTGCCCTCAAAACTATAACATTTTTTGTACATTACATATTTTGGCGCAAATCCGCTAGTCAGAATCGACTAGGAATGGTTTTGATGGTTTACAGGTACCATCTTTACAATGGAAATTTGTATATGTGCATGAAAGAACACTTACATTATGATGTTCCATCACAAGGTTTTCTGTACTCAACCTCGTTAGCAAAGATGAAGGAAACCTAGGAAAGGGAAAATCTAATAACATTAATGGTCAAAACACAAATTATTGTGTGAGCCAGTGCGGGATGCCTCGTCGCATTTTTCGAAGAAAATCTATACTTATACTAAAAAATATTATATTTTTAGTTATTTCATTTTTATAGAACATGTCATTATTGTATAAACGTATAGCGATTTGGTATGCCCAACAATAGTCCTACCGTTTGTAATTAGAGTGACATTCACTACAAGAGGTAATGAAATTCCAATGAATATATATTCAAATGAAATTTCAACGTCAATTATTCCAAGATTATTCCAATGTTATTATTTCCGTTGTAATTTTTCAATTGATTCCAACTAAAATATTCTGTTGGAATGGATATTCTATTGAAATTTATGTTGACGATTTAAACGACAAATTTTCCAACGGTTGAAATATAGATTGAAATATAAAATCCAACGAAAATTCATACGGTCATAAACAATTGGAAAGATGGTTATTGGAATCATTAAATTTTCTAATAATACCATTCCAACGGATATACTTAGAATTTCCTTTGCAAACACTACAAGAAAAAGGACTTCTTGCAACATAAATATAATGACTTTTCTAATAAGTGTAACTAGAATCAAAGTTATTGCGACGCTTTTTAAAAAATGTTACAAAAATAAAATAATTGCAACACTTTTTTAAAAAGTGTAATGGAATAATGATGCTTTTAAAAAAATGTCGTAATTTCACCAGTTTTGAGACATTTATTTAAAAATGTTGCTAATTTATGACAATTTATGAAATAGTGTCCCCAATTTTATACAAATGGTGACACTTTTTTGAAAATTTTGAGACATTTATTTAAAAATGTTGCTAATTTATGACAATTTATGAAATAGTGTCCCCAATTTTATACAAATGGTGACACTTTTTGAAAATGTATTTAAATATTACGTTTTTTTTTTTTCAAAAGCTTCACTTTATTTATTAATACGATGACATTTTATGTGAAATTTTATGTGTTAGTTTTTGACTTTCTTAATCTCATATGTCAATTTGTGGTTTTCAAAATAGTCCATGTAGATTTGTAATTTTATTCTTGCTCATTAAGAACATTAAAACTATAGAACACTTGGTAAATTAAATTATAAATTATGTTAAAATTAATATTATCATATCAAATTAATGTTAAAAAAATTATAAATTATGTTAAAATTAATAATTTTTTATATTATCATATCAAATTAATATTTTTATAATGATCTATAAAAAATACAACATTTAAGAAATATTTAAAAAATTAAAATAAATTTATTTTTTAAAAACTATTTCAGGTATAAATTTTTGTATTTAGCACATGTATTACATTGATGTTGGAATACTAACAGTATTTGTAAAATTTCAAAGTTTAAAACTATTTATATATTAAGTTTAATATACACTTATACATTTTATCCCCATTCCAATATAATATATTAAGTTACAACACTTATATATCAACTCATCCACTCCCCCTATATTCCCAAATCGCTCGTCGACTTCCTCACGAACCCTAGCTACACGTTCGTCGGGATCGGCGTGGATCAGGACCTGGAGAAGATCGGGGAGAATTATTCGGGTTCAACACCAACACAGTGGAGTACCTGGAGAAGATCGGGGAAAATTATGAGTTCGGGTTCAACACCAACACAGTGGATTTGAGGGGCATAGCGGCGGAGAGATACGGGAGGGCAGAGCTGAACTGTGTGGGGCTGAGAACCCTCATCGGCGTTGTGCTGGAGAGGGATGGAGAACCCGAGGGCGGTTACGATGAGCAGATGGGACAATCAGTGGCTGACGCCGGCTCAGGTCAGTATGCTTGTGTTGATGCATTTGTCTGCTTTGAAATTAATAGGATTCTTGATGCTTCTTCGTTTTAATCTTATTCATCGTCTATTTGCCCCCAAAAAAACCTAGAAAAGTGGGGATCGCTTTGTGAATAATTGGGATGATTGACTTCTGTGACTTGATATGAACATGTGAAGAAAATGGGTATGCAGATTGATGAT